TATTTTGATTGAGAACAAATATTTAGATAATTCTCAAATCTTAAAACTTTCAAATTATTACTATTTAAGCAAAGAAAAAAAAAAGGCTATGGGGGATCATTTGAAATTTGTTTTCGACAAGTTTATTGTCAAAATGCGTATCTCTTTGGAAGAATTTAAAAAACATAAGATCACTCAATTTTGATATTATTATGAAACTATGATATCTAAATAAATATTATATGATTTAAGGGGATCAACACAAATCATTTAAGAGAGTGGTTTGATTTCTAGTTGAAATGACAATAATATTCTCTCTTCCATAAATTTATAAGCCCTAATTTACTAATTAAATAAAGCTATAAAGAAGCCAAAAGGAGTCCCAAAAAATGATTCCAAATAAAGAATTCAGATCTCTACTTTCCAGAATTTGACATTCAACGTCAACCATTGTCGATCTCTACTATAAACAACCGTCAATGCATGCCGTCAACCCTCTAACTACACTTGCAATAGACCACTTGCCTATATGTCCATCGCTACCAATGCAAGTGATATTCTTCATTATCTCCAACATCAATGCCCATCATAACACCAAAGTGACAAGTGTTTGTCGCAATTGTGAACCAGAATGATACATGTCATCACCATAAATAATGTTGATATCTCCATCAGCGATGTTGTTATTGCCAATGAAGTTGGCATAGCCATTTCCAATGAGCTTGATGTCATCGATTGTTTATGGGCTAAAACAACTATTTTCCCATGTGGCCAATGGTAGCAGTCACCAATGAGGATGAAGCTGGCAATTCACAATATGTTAGACACTAGTGGTTGCAAATGAAATTGATGCCTATGGTTTCCAATGAAGTTGTCACCAACAATGTTGTCATTTTTCGTTGACAATGAGGCTAACACATGCATAGCATAAAAAAATGAGTCCATGCATATCATTTGTTGATATTGAGATGAATACCAGTTGCCGACACTAATGTAGAAATTAGCTATGAATAACGTGTCCAATGTTTAGCTTTGCCAAGGATGCCAATTAATGGTCCTAGTCGCTAAAGATCTAGATGCTTCCACGTTCCATCACTAATAACAATGATGATTTCCATCATATCACCAACAAGGTTGATACTGATATTCATTAATAAATCTGATGTTTGTATCACCATAAAGATGGGCTAATGCCCAATGTTTCTAATACGATTAACAAACCCTATTTCCACCAACATAGATACACACAATCAATGAAAAGGCTCTTTTTAACCTGTGGCAAGAAAGTGAAGAAAAATATTCGTAAAATTAAGTGACAATTTCAAGCTTAATAATGGTTCATCCTCTTGAACCATTGTGGGCTAATGCTGGTTTTTTATTTTGTTTTAAGTGTACTATTATTTTTGGCTTTGCTGTGGTTGGCTATGCGAGTGTATCATTCTTTTTTAGCCAGGGCTACGATGAGGTGGCTTTCTGCTTTCTCTCTGGCGATATTGTCTTGTTGGCAACCATTGGTGGGGCTTACTCCTTTTTTGATTGGTGATCTTTTTTTGGGATGTGGGAGGATGTTGTTCTGGATGCGCTTTCATAAATGTGGGTTGTTCTTTACTTCTTCCTCTGGGTGGTCCTTACCTGATTTTTGGGCAGTTGCAGGAAGCCTCCATTATTGAGTTTGGCTGACTTATTCATCCTCTTCATTCTCTGTTTTCTCTTTTTAGATGATTGTTGTCTTGTATTTTTTGATTTATCCTTGTTTGGACTTGATTGTATCTTCCTTTTTATGGCATGAAATAAAATTGGGTTAAAAAAATCAGTCAATGAAAAGGCTCATACTCATCACCTAATGATAATGATCACATATCACAAACAATACTAACACACATCATCGCCAGCAAGGTTGATATATGCTCACCATCACTAGCAAGTCCAACACCAATATTTCCAACAAGTTTGACATCTACTATAATTAAAAAACATCGACACATGCCATCATGCACAACCAATATTTAAATCGATCATTACAATAAGGCTAATGTGCATCATCACCAATTAGGACATCATACATCATTATTATCATATCAATGAATATCATTCCCTAAAAGGCTTACACGGGATATCAAGAACAAGCTTGATGCCCTTTATCAGAAGCAAGGTTGATGTTTATAATCACCAACAAGATCAATGTCCTTTGTTGCTAACAAGGTCGATATTGATCATTACCTATAAGGTAGGTGCCCATTGCCACTATACCTACTACAATACACATAATCTCTAATAGTTTCAAACACTATTATCATGCACCAATAAGATCGACACCCAATATACTCAACAATGCTAGCATGCACCCTTCTTTGAGAATAACATTGATGCATGTTGTGGCCACGGAGGTTTAGGGAATTATACATAAAATTATTCTTAAAATTAAAGACAATGTGATTGTTCTTTATTCTTCCAATTTGCTTTCTATAAAGAATTTTAAGAATTATTACTATACCCTTTCCTTTTTTGTTATTAATGGGGAGGTGGATAAGTGTCAAATTAGAACTATTTGCATTAATTGGTGTAAGCATCTTCCTAATTATTTCAAATTGAATGTGGCTTGTGTTAAAGTTGGTAGTAAAATTAGTTATGGTGGTCTCATCAGAAATCATCTGGGCAATTATATTTCTGGTTTTGCTGGGTCGGCTAATGTTGGTGATAGTCACATCGCCTTTTTCACTGGTGTTCTGCATGGGTTAAATCTTTGCAAAGCTATTTTCCTTAAGAATATTATTTTGGAGCCTGTTTCTTATTATGATATTCTTTTGTGTCTAGATAAAGATGATAGTATGTGTGCCCCTGCTCTGTTTTACATCTGAAGAAATATTAGAGAGGTGTTAAATTCTTTTTCTTACTCCTTTTCTTTCATTAAGGTAGAAGGGAATGATGTTGTGCAGGCTATGACTATTTTGGGTACTATGCTTAATAGTTTTAATGATCTCTCTTTTGTTCAACTGCCTGTTCATATTTAGGGACTTGTTAGATTAGATTAGATTGGTTTACCTTATGTCTTTCGTTAATTTTGATGCTTTTATTATGTTTTGGTGGCTGTGGTTCTTTTCTTCTCTGGGGGTTGCTATTTTGCTTTGTTATCATAGTATTTTTGTTGTTTCTTCTTGCTGGGTGTGGTTCTACCCGTTGCTGGCCTGGATTATTTTGGTGGCTTCCAGGTTCACTAAATGTTTTAATGTGTTCAGCTTGTGGCTTTCGAGTACCTGTTGTTGTTTATGCATTATCTGGGCTATGTTTACTACTGAACTCTGTTGCGGGTTAGACATTTTGCTGGAGCCTGGGAGTCTCAATTATGCTTCCAGCTTTCGGTGCTGGAATTATTATTTGGTTGCTTGGTTGGTTGAACTCCCCGTATGCTACCTTATGAACTTTGCTTGCTCTCCTCTCGGATGAGTGTTTGTATTTCATTCTCTGGAGACCGTCTTACTACTGTCATAAAATGGTTTGCTGTTTATATCCTTGGGTTTATAATTTATTTAATTTTTACTATTATATTACTTTGTTTTGCTGTTTGGTGGGCTTTGTATTGTTCTTGTAGGTTTTTTGTGCAGATTTTAAGGATTATTGGATTTTTGCGGGGAAGCAGATTGTGCAAGCTCGTTTTCCTTAATTTTCTTCCCTCTTTTTGGGTGCTTGTGCTGAAGCACCGTAGAATGTACCTATGTTGTCTTGTACTTTTCTGTAGTAAGGACCTTGAGCTCGTATGTTTTTTTCATTTTATTTTTGTAGCTCTTTCGAGTAGTAGTGAGCTCGAGGAAATTTTAAGGATTTTGTACTATTTACTTGTAATTAACGCGTAGGCCACACTGTGGGTTTTCTTAAAAAAAAATGTTGTGGCCTCAGAGGTAGATGTACAACTACTTGGACATCGATCTCTCTTATAAGGAGAATGTCCAAGCAGACAATTGATTATCTCTTTTGATGATAACTTTGACGCCTTAAGGCTCCTTCTTATTGGAATTAAGCATTCACATTTCATTTTTACTATATTATATTAATTTCTTCTTTAGCTACATACTCGATTAGAAGAGAATTCTTTATAATATATGACTCACATTAGTAGAATTATTTCAATCGGGTTAAATCTTATGAATTTTGGTCTTCTCGAAATTTCTATATAAAAAATCTTATGCCTCCCAAGAGCTACTCTCAACTTATCTTTGTGTGTGGGAGATTTTTATATAATGTCAAGACCATAAGCACTTTTTTATGACCATAAATATTCCAACACACAACAATATTATATGAATAAAGAAAATACCACATGAGCTTTATCGAAAAGGAAAATAAAACCTGATCTAGAACTACTAGCATGTTGAGGGAAGCTTTATGACTAAAAAAAAAAGGGAAGCTATACGACTAATGATATGTTAGTCCTAGAAAAATTCAATATCCATTAAACATTTAAGTAACAAAAAAGAAGAAGATTATTGCTGATTTTCCTTGTTATTTAATATAATACATTATTTTATTGATTAAAATCTAATTGATAAAATATTACTACATATAAACTCATAGAAAAAAATTAGTAGGCATATAAACCAAATACTCCATGCATGCAAAGAAGAGGAGCACAGTCGCACTTTTATCGTACTACTAAGTTAAAAAGAACACTATAATTACTAATACATATCATCATTCCAACCATTAATATAATATAATATTACATATTATAATTTTATAGTAGAAAAACATTGATTACCAATCTACGTTTAAATTTTTTTAAAAAGTGATCAATAGATTGAATAATAATCGTACAGTTTGAAGGTGGCTTACCAACAAATTCACATTTTTTTTAAGACTTACAAGCACCCTGTATCTTTACACACAAATAATCTTACATCATACAAGTAAATGAATATAGGTGGAAAAAGTTTGGTTCTAAGTAGATGTTGTAGGTTAGAAACCTGAAGAGATGTTGAAAGAAGAACTGATTTCATTCCACCAAGCAACCTCTCCACTCACTCTCTCTTTCTAATTCCTCTCTCTCTCTCTCTCTCTCTCTCTCTCTCTCTCATTCTCTCTCTACTTTGTAGCCAACACGTAGGATCAACCACCTGTGTAACCATCCCTCCAAACTCCCCATCTCTCCCTCTGTAACGGGACCAAGAAGCCTCTTTCCTCTCCTTCTTTTCCAACTACAAGATTTAACAGAAGTATCCTTTCCTTCTCCTTCTTTATAACTATCCGTCCTCTCCCACATCCAAATCCTTCTTTATTTGGTTGATTCTTCAGTAAGCAAAACCACTTCTTCATACATAAAGTTATGATCAATCGACTAAAACCCTAATTCGAACCTACATACGTACTCATCTCCTATATATATATATATATACATATATCATTTCATCAACATACAGAAACATAATTTCTTTGTTCAAATGTGCACTAGAGGCCACTGGAGGCCAGAGGAGGACGAAAAGCTAAAGGAATTGGTGGCAAGGTTAGGCCCTCACAACTGGAATACCATCGCGGAGATGCTTCATGGTAGATCAGGTGCAGTTTCTATATAGTGTTTTATTAAAATATCTGATCTTGATCTCTAAATATATATTTTTTTAATTCATATATGAAAATATTATATTTGGATTGATTTTAACATGTTACCTTATGCATCGATAAAGCACAGGAAAGAGCTGTAGGTTGAGATGGTACAATCAACTAGACCCAAGAATAAACAGGTGCCCTTTCAGTGAAGAGGAAGAAGAGAGGCTTCTTGTTTCACACAGAATTCATGGAAACAGGTGGTCGATCATAGCTCGTCTCTTCCCTGGGCGCACAGACAACGCAGTGAAGAATCACTGGCATGTAATCATGGCAAGAAGATCACGTGAGAGATCTAAGCTTCAGCCAAAGCAGCCTTGTATATCTCAAGAGAGTCATCTTATAAGGAAAGAGAAGGAGAAGATTATGAATTTTGAATTTTCGAAAGGGCTTTTATTTTCAAGCTTGATAGGGGGAGGAAATAGTGGAACTTTGTATGGTTATAAGCAACCAATTTCTCAAAGCCGAGAAGAATATAACTGTTGGCCTAATTTTCATGAAGGTAAAAATCCTCACGTATTTATATAAATTACATGTTATAGACATGGAAAATTATGACCGATCATCTTAAATTCTTAATTATTATGTGTGAAATTAATTTTAGCAGAAGGAGAAACAAGTAGGGAGAGCTCGATCGAGTTTTATGACTTTCTGCAAGTGAACAGTGATTCTAATGAAACGGGGGAGTGCTCGAGGAGAGAAGAAGAGCAAGACCAGCATGAGAAAGAGCAGCAGAGCGAGGCTGGAGTTCCATTCATAGATTTTTTGGCTGTGGGATCTTGACTGAACTTTGCATGGCGTCGTTGGCGGTAGCAGAAAATATAATTTTACTTTTTTTTTTATTTATTTAAACAGATATCATGCACGGTTAAGATCCTAACATAGCTAGAGCTTATACCATAACTCTCGATCATCTCTCTCTCTATATGCTTAGTTAGGTTGAAGGATTCTCAAAGAAAACTGAGAATTGGCTAAACCAACTTTTCCTTCGCACTGTTAGAATTTGGTGAAGAAAGGAAAAGCATAATAAAGCCTTGTGCTTATAAATTGTCTATGAGCAAAATGTAAATTAACTTATGAAATTATATATCTTTGGATATTGGAGATGAATTTCATTTTCTATTAGTATTAATAACTCTTTGATTTGTAAGTTTTGTTTAAATTTTCATAGAGTTGATCATGTTGCATGAGTAGATGTAGGGGAATTTGAATTCTTATGCCATTTTTTGAAAGCTTAAAGGTAATTATGGAATGAAGAAGATATATAGAGATCTTCTTGCTTTCGGTAACTAATGTTTATTGGTGTTCCTTGTGTGGATTTGTCTGCCTGAAAATCCTCAATCGATCATGTAATTTCTGGTTGGATTATCAGTTTTCACTTTAATTAGTTAAATTGTATTCTTAGCATTTATTGTGTCTTCAGCTTCACATAACTCGGCAATATCTGAATACTTGAGCTAGGGGCTATTTGGTTGGAGATTATATATATGATAGTGACTTATGACATCTTAATTTTAGACTTCCTTTCAAGGATTTTCAATAATATTGTGATGTTGGATTTACAACTTAATAAAGTATATTGTAGAAATATCCACTCGTTGAATCTCATTTCTAAACATATTTTTGAGTTTTTAAGCACCCGTGTATTCAACTTTTAATCCTCTTTTAATTTGTTCTTGTTATTAGTACTGATTTGAGAGTTAATGGATTACTTCATATCAAGTGATTTAAGATGTTTGTGACTATTATGAGTCTCGGTCTCCTTATCTCATGATTAAGCAAAGTTGAAGACATGTAACTCTAATGAAATATCTATGTAATTGAATTGGATCTTATTGCTTGACATTTAATGAGCTTCTATTTGATATGAATTATTATGGTCAATATTGAGTGCGCTTACGTAAAAGGGGACATTGTTAATTAAGATAGGTGGGAGCATTAGATTTAGGTTTCGTTCGGGATAGCTTTTGTACTGCTTTTTAAAATGACTTTCAAGTACAAAAATTTTAATTCAAGAAATTTTTACTAAAAAGCTGTTTTAGAAAACAAGAAGAAAGCCATCCCAAACCAAGTCATAGTTTCATATCAAATAGATAAAATCATTACTTTTGGTATAGAAATACTAGATGACTAATCCTTAATCATAAGCATAACTTTTGGGTCCAAAATACTTTGAACTTTGATGTAGATGACTCAACTTTGATTCATGTTTTTCCGCTTTCTTTAATATTGCTAACTTCTCATATATCATCTTCTCTTTTGTTTATGTCACTTGAAAAAATATCATATTTGTTATTTCTCTTTTAATGTTTGTTTTGAAATTAATCATAAGTACTTGCCTTTATGATTCATCTTCACAAATATATATATAATTTAAAACTTTATTTTTGGACGATTGGATAAGACAAGACGGAGCGAAATGTGTGGAGTGCTGTGCTAGGGTTTTCCTGGTTTTTTTTCTGCCCCGCCTTTTTCCCTTCCCGCCGGCGTGGGGAGGGTCCCTCCCTCCCCCACCATGGCCTCCTCTTCATATTTTCAGGATTTTCCCTCTCTTCCGGGTGTGGGGTCCTCCCTCCTTCCCGGTCCCTCTTCTCTCAACTTCATTTCAAACCTTTCGAATCATGACCCAGTTGCCGGAAACTTTTCTGTTTCCTTCGTCAACCCATCTCCTCGTGTTCCTTTCTCTGCTGCTGAACTGGATCGTGGTGTGCCGGACTGGGGTTATTCGCTTGTTGGCTATTCTGTCGGACCAAGACCTACCTACCTCAGCTTGCAAAATGCTTTCAAAAAGGTTTGGCCAATCAAAGGTTCGGTTGATCTGCTTTCTCTTAACGACGGTTTTTTCTTGTTCAAGTTCTCTTCTCCGGAAGATTTTGAGAATGTCTGGCTGGGAGGTCCGTGGTTCTTCTTCGGAAGACCCTTTATTTTGCAAAAATGGACTCCCAAATTCAAGCCAAAGCGGGATGATTGTAAATCTATCCCGATTTGGATTAAGATCGTGGATCTCCCGCTAGCTGTTTGGAATCCTTCGGGTATTTCCAAAATAGCTAGTTTCGTCGGACACCCGCTTGCTGTTGATGCCCTAACAGCCAGAAAAACAAGATTGACGTATGCTCGTGTATGTGTGATGGTTAGCAATGAATCTACTTTTCCGGACGAAATCCCTATTTCCATGGATGGAGATGACATGTCCCTTCAGGTTATCTATGATTGGAAACCAACTCCGTGCTCTGGCTGCGGTTCACTTGTCCACCCATCAAATCTTTGTCACATAAACCCTCAGCCAAAAGTTCCCCCTCCACCGAAAACCCATTCCCGTGGAAGAAGCTCCAGTCGGGCCCGCCCGCCTTTACCTCCACCAAAAACTCCCACCCTTCTCCCCTCATCTGTTACTCTCGCCAATTCCACTACTCTCCCTGTTGCCCCCCCACCTCATCCCACGGTTACTCTTCCTTCTCCCGAAATCTCTGTCTCTAATGTTGCGGTTGTGCAGGGCCCATCCAACATTGATGTTATCGGCCCTTCTTTGGTTGTCTCGGACGATCACAAGGATGATGCTATTCCTAATTTGAATTCACCTTTAGATGAAACTTCTTCATCTGAAGTTGGACCGACGGATTTGCCAGACCTTGCCACTTCATCTCAGTCAGCCCTTGTTTCCACTTTTGTTATGAATAGGTCTAAAGCACCTGAAATGACCTCGCCCAACAAATTTGCTATACTAGATCAAGATGATCATGATGAACCGGCTCAGTTGTCAAATGAGCCTACTCCCCCTCCCAAATCCTCATGTAACCCTATGGTGGGAGAATCACAAAAAAATCAACATGCCAAGTCCACTAGATCCAAGGGTGCTAAGAAAGCACAAAACCCCTCCAAGTCCAAATGACCCTTCCCAATATTGGATGCTGGAACATTCGTGGTTTTAATAAACCAGAGAAGGTTCTGTCCTGTAAAAACCTTATTGCCTCTAATAAACTTGATATTATCTGTATTCTTGAAGCTAAAATTTCTTCCCAATCGTTTCTTGATCCTTGGTTTGTTCACTCACACCAAGTTTTTCCTAACGAACTTAGCTGCAACAATTCCACTCCTTCTTCTTCCGGGAGGATTTGGGTCAAGTGGAATTGCTCTACTATCTCCTTCATACCTCTCCAATCTACCTCGCAGATGATCCATGGCAACCTTAGCTTTGGCTCTACTTCCCCTTTTCTTATCACCTTTGTGTATGCAGCCAACTCCCCTCAAGAAAGAACCCCTTTATGGAAACACCTCACGAATTTAGCTGACTCCATCTCTTCCCCTTGGATTATCATGGGGGATTTCAATTGCTATAAAGACTTCAAAGATAAAGTGGGCGGTGCTCACACTCATTTTAGCAGGCTTGGTGAACTGAATGGTTGGATGTTTAATTCGGGCACTATTGACCTCAATTCGGTTGGTTTGAGGTACACCTGGTTCAATGGGCGTCTTGATGATCCCATTCATATTAAGTTAGACCGAATGGTGGTGAATCAGTACTGGCTGGACTGTTTTCCTCTTTCCTATTACAAGGTGGTGCCTCCTCTTTGCTCCGACCACTCCCCTCTCTTATTACAGTCGGGCCAGCATTCTAATTTGGCGGGAAGGTTTCAGTTCAAAAATTTTTGGCTGCAATTCAATGGTTTTTGGGACATTCTCTTTACTGCTTTTTCTACCCACTTTGTTGGTAGCCCTATTGCTAATTTATTTGGAAAGCTTAAGGAGCTCAAATGTCTATTAAAACAAAAAACCTGGGCGCATGACCACTTCATTAAAGCACAATTGGAGGATCTTACTCTCAAACAGAAAACTTGTATTGAGCACATTCAACAGAACCCATTAGATCCCTCCTTCAATGCTCTTTTCAAGGAAATCAACCATAATATCTCCTATTATCAGGAAGCTTGGAATTCATGGATAACCCAAAGGGCAAAAGCCAAATGGCTTCAGCAAGGTGAGGATGATTTGGGATTTCTTTATGCCCGAATCAAAACCAGAGCGAACATTAACCGGATTAAGGAAATCACTACTGATGAGGGCCATTTTTCTTCTCCTCCTGATATTGTGAAGGCCATTGTTGAACATTTTAGAAAGCTTTTTAATCCCCAGCAGCCGGCCTTTAACCCGGATTTTCATTTTCCTGTGGGTTATACCGTGCCCAACTTTTTGATGAGTTCCCTTGTTGCTCCCGTTACTGATGATGAGATCAAACAGGTTGTATTTTCCGAGCCCTCCTCCTCTTCCCCTGGGCCCGACGGCTACACTTTTGAATTTTATAAGGGAACTTGGGACATTACGGGCTTTTATGTGATTAATGCAGTAAAAAATTTCTTCACTGCTGGGCACCTTCCTAGATGCGCCAAAGCTACTGCCATCACTTTGATTCCTAAGAATCAGCATGCCACAAATATATCTGATTTTTGTCCCATCTCTCTTTGTAATGTCTTTTACAAGATTATTGCGAAAATTTTGGCTCAAAGGCTTAAGGTGGTCATGCCTCTTATCATTCACAAAAGTCAAGCGGGTTTTATTTCTAAAAGAATTTCTACTGATAATATCATCTTGGCGAACGAAATTTTACATGATTTCAACAGCCATCATATGATGAAGTTTTTTTGCGCTAAGCTTGATATTCGCAAGGCTTTTGACTCGGTTTCTTGGGAATTTTTGATTTCTCGGCTTAGGCTCAAAGGGTTCCCACATAAATTCATTGCTTGGATCAAATGCTGCATTTATGAGGTGCCATTCTCGGTGTGCATTAATGGTGTACTTGAAGGCTTCTTCTATTCCTCTTCGGGGCTCAGGCAGGGTTGCCCCCTATCCCCTCTTCTTTTTGCGGTGGTTATGGATGCCCTTTCCTGCTCTTTGGATTCTGGTAGTTTTCAGGGTATTCCTTTTGGGCTCAATTCTCTTAGCCACCTCTTATATGCTGATGATGTTCTTGTGTTTGGGATTGCTTCTATGTCTAATGCTTATACTTTAGCTGATATTCTTAAGCATTTTGCTGAGGCGTCGGGCCTCCATACCAACAATTCAAAGTGTTCCATTCTATTCTCTAAGAACACTTCCTCTGCTCCTAATATTGTCAA